TGGCAAGTCAATTCTTAGGGGTCTTGGCTTTTTTTTCTTTTTTTTTTAAATGGAACAAATGCTCCAATCTATTCGTGGGGAGCAGCACGTGCTGGGAACTGGGGCCAGCGTCCCATGTAAATTTATACACATGTAAGTTTATACAAATTGTTGGGAATCGTTGGAAATACCAGGGCCATTACCTGGCTTCGGCTAAGAACAATCTAAGAACTATTTAAAGTTCAGGAAAATTTAGAAAAACCTGGATAATTTCTGGCCTATTGCTAGGCTCCTGAATGCTCAGAACCCCTGGACTCCTTAACAAAACCTCTAATGCTCTCTAACAGTGGCTTACTCCCTGCCGAGCTCTCCCAGGCCTCATGCCCCTACCCCGTTAGATTACAAGGCAACACGACTCACCCCAGCTCCCGCCAGCGTCATCCCGACAACAACCCTTGGTTTTCCTTTAGAATGCCCGCCCCAAGGCATCCCCAGATCTCACTACCAGGCCTCACGCTCCTGCTATCAACAGGTTACAGGGCAACCCCCCAGCACCGCCCAGCGTCATTCTGGCATCGAAAAACCGCAGATCCATGAATATAACAGCATCGAAGAAGCCTAAGGTGAGTTGTAAGAAGTACCCAGAATCCCAAAGCATTTTCAAGACCACTCAAACAAAACAATCCACCCTCATTCCTCCAACCCCCTACTCTTTTTTATCCCCCGACGAGCTGACCTCCTCCACCACATAGTTCGCGGGATGAGAACAGCAGCCGCACCCACACAATGGACACCTTCCTCAACTGTTCATCTCACGACGAGCCGACCTCCTCCACCCATAGTTCACAAGACGAGGAATAGCAAAAATCAGGTGAACTCACCAATTCTTACCCTCCCTCAATAAATAAGCGCAGCACTACAGTTCGTCAGAAACCATCAGAAACCATCCTCCCTCTTCCCTACAACCCCTTACTCTTCATCATCTTTCGATAAGCCGACCTCCTCCACCACATAGCTCGGAAGATAATAATTGTAGACGAACGACCTAACCCAATCCCATAATGGTTGAAAACACACTTCAACTATTCATCTTCCTTCGACGAGCCGACCTCCTCCACCACATAGTTCGAAGAAGAAGAATAGTAGTCCCAGAAATAACCTTTGAATGGGTTTAATGAGCCAGCGACAATCAAAGGAACCGTCCTCAATCTTCGCTCCCTCCCCCTACTCTTCTTCATCCCTCGACGAGCCGACCTCCTCCACCCATAGTTCGCAAGAGGAGGACTGGCAGAAAGGTTCCACACATCCTCAAAACACCTGGCCGGCAAACAGCGAAAAGGAATTGAGTACCCAATCGAGAGAATTCCTCAAGATACGAAATTCAGATTCAAGTTCAGAAACCTTCCATTTACCAAGCGGAAAAAAAACAAAACAATGAATACTAGATTTGGATATCCCAAAAGGGATTATTCGAATCGATTCTCAAACCGCAGTTTTAGAATTTTTAGTAAAAGGATTGGCACTTTTTTGCGAAAATTGTAAGAACATACTTTTAGAAATTGAAAATTAGAAACAAGATTAGGAATCTATTTGAGACAACTTTTGAATTTGAAATTTAAAAACAGGATTAGGAAATCTATCTGAGATATCCAATATTGGACTCACGAGTATATGAAATCGAAAAAGTAATCTTGATCGTGGTTAAGATCATCGTTAAGGGAAGCAGCTATGTACCAAAGGACATACTCACGGATAGGAATTCACTTACAATTTTTGCACGAAGATCACGAAAATCATTAGCAGCCATTTAGACCAAATTGTGAAAAACATCCTAATCGAAATTTCCATCCTCAACAATAGAGCTTTCCCCCCAAAAAAACTCCTCTGCAAGGAAACTGAACAGAAGCGAGATGACAATATTTAGATTGAACAATCACATTGAAAGCTAGATCGTATCACAGTGTTAAAAAAGTAGCATTGCACCAATATGACACCAATGGAGAATAGTAGCACTGAAAGCCAATGTCAATGAGAGCTTGCTCTCACCACCACCAACATATGTATCCAATCCCTATCTCCCTACTCGGTGCTCAGCCCCCAGCCTACTCCCTACACAGCTACTACTAGCCTACTAATTGACAATGCAACTGTTGACGTCAGCAGCCTCCGAAGTACTTGAAGATGTCGCCCATGCAAAACCATCGCCAATACCAGGTATGTGCCCTCACATCATCATCATCATCATCCTTCTCTCTCTCCCATGACTCTCTCCCACGTCTTCCCTTGTTGAACACCCGAAGACCACCCCTGCGCCTCACTGTACATCCAAGCCCGCCAGCTATGGAGGCTGGGCTATAGCGCTGCCCTCAGCAGCGTCGTGCTCTCTGCACGACCGCACGTGCTTGCACCTCGTCGCTCAGCGCTAGCGAACCCCGCGAGCTTCAGCTCCAGCAGCACTGCCGCCAGCATGCGAGTGCCCGAATGCCAGGCCAGGGAGCAAGCTCTTTCCTATATGGAAAGAGCCTGCCTCATTCGGCAGCCTGGTTGGACTGGCCTGGGCCAAGAAGCTTCCGGTAGGCCCTAGGATGTTGAGCCTCTCTTGCAGCTAGTGGGCCTCGTTCGGTTGGGCCTCCCAACTGTCTGAGTATGAGGCTGCGATTCTCGTCCAGAGCCTGCATCATTTTGGAAAGGTCTGGAAGGTCTCGCTGCTCGGCCTGTGTTTTTCTCAACCAACTGGCGCGACGAAACTTCCTGGACCCCAAATACAAAATTGACAGTCGAGGGCCTCTCTTGATTTGTTAGGCCCGCCTTCACTTAGGGCGGGCACAAATGCAACAGGGCCCCCCTTAGGCCTGCCAAGGGTTTGAATCCTCGCATTCCCTCCTCCTGTACTTCGGTAGTCCCCTGAGAAGTCTTCTATTTTGCAGGCATCTTTCCTTTGAGATCCCTTTCGTAGCCGGCAATGACTTGAGGTGCAGCTCTCCTGAGTTCTTCTCTGGTGAAGTGGGACCCCCTTAGGCCTGCCGAGAATCCTCGCATTCCCTCCTCCTGTACTTCGGTAGTCCGCTGAGAAGTCTTCTATTTTGCAGGCATCTTTCCTTTGAGATCCTTTTCGTAGCCTGCAATGACTTGAGGTGCAGTTCTCCCGAGTTCTTCTCTGGTGAACCATCGATCTTCGCTAGGATCCATATGATGTCTGAATTTGACCCGGTACGACATTTTTGGCCTAGGAGGGCGACCTCTGCCCGGTGGTCGAGGAACAGGCATCACACGATGTTCCACAATCTGGTCGACGTCCACTTCGCCATCCATGGTTGGGGGCAGCATTGACCGTCGGGAAGGGAATTGTGCAGATTCTGCGAAAGGTGCCAGCTTTGAGGCATGAAATACAAGGTGTGTACGTAGATGTGGGGGAATACGAATCACATAGGAAGGTCCGTACATTTGATCTCCCACTATGTTTAAGACCTCCCAAGGACCGAAGCACTGTGGCATTAGCTTTTTACAAATTCCTAGTTCCTGTCCCAACTCAGATGATTTAACCCAAACTCGTTCTCCTACCGGAAATTGAGACGACTGTCTGTGCTTATTCTCATATGCCACCATGGCATCTTGAGCTTTTCTAATATGTTGTACAGCCTGTTGCAGCATCTGATCATACTTTACAGCAAACTCTATGCTACCTGGTGCTGCAGATGGTTGACCCTCTGGTAACAAGAAATCTAAGGCGGTTCTAGGCTTCCAACCAAGATGCAGTTGGTTGGTGGTCATGCCAGTCGTGGTGTACAACATTGTTGAACAGGCTGGCGACGAGAGGCAGTTTCTCGTCCCAGTCATCCTGACTTGGCTTAATGTAGTGCCTCAGTAATTGCTGCATTACTCGATTCATTTGTTCCGCCTGTCCATTTGACTCAGGGTGGTTCCCTGATGTCATTTGCAGTTTGGTGCCCATCTGTTGGGTTGTGTTTTGCCAGAGTTCGCTTGTGTAACGTACATCCCGGTCACTCTGACAGTACATCAGACTGTTAATGAGGTCAGATCGTTTGAGACTTTGGTTTACCTAAGTCTATCAGACTATGGCATCAGACTCTATTCACTGACGATAGTAGCCTGTCATCCCCCAAAACGATATGACCTCAGTAGCACTCTGAGGTTTAGGTTAGTCACGTATGCTGGCCATCTTAGCATCATCCGGCCTCAATCCATCTGCTGAGATTTCACGACCCAAATACAAGATCTTGGTGCGACCGAACTCGCATTTCTCCAAGTTAACCTTGTACTGGTGTTGTCTTAGGAGACCTAGCACTATTTTCAAGTGCTCAACGTGCTCCTCTACAATCCTACTAAAGATAAGAATATCGTCGAGGTACACGACGATAAACTTGTCTAAGTAGTCATGAAATATCTTGTTCATCGTGTGCTGAAACGTACCAGGTGCATTGCATAGGCCAAAGGGCATCACCACGAACTCGTACAGACCGTACCTGGTCTGAAATGCGGTTTTGTGCTGGTCCTCAGGTCTATCTTGGCGAAGTACCAGCATCCCTGCACTCTATCCTGGTATTCGGACTTAAGATCTATCTTGGTGAAGTACCGGCATCCGTGCACTCTATCCAAGAGGTCGTCGATGCGGGGTAGGGGTCCACGTTCTTAACGGTGATGGCATTGAGGCCCCTATAGTCAATGCACACCCTCAGGGTACCTCCCTTCTTTGGGACAAATAAGACTGACGCACCATAAGGGGAGGTACTTGGTCGAATCCTTCCCTTTTCTGTGAGCTCCTTGAGCTGGCGGTAGAGCTCATCCAACTCTGCAGGAGACATTCTATAGATTCGTCCTCTAGGTACCTTACTACCTGGGACAAACTTCATTGCATGGACCACCTCCCTTTCTACTACGCCTGTGGGCTCCTCAAGAAGGTCTGAATATTTTGGGATGACTGATTCTATCTCTAGGGGTGTTTTAACGGCCTCCTCTTTCTCAGAGACAAAGACTAGATACATGCCCTCCTCGCGATTCTGCTTGTAGTAGTTATAGAAAGAGGAAGCACACATGCAGCCGTAGTTCTCCACTAGACTGCTAGCTTTATACTTTTGCAGTCTAACGGTTCTACCGTTTGGTAACTTGTGTATCAACACCTTGCTATCCCAATCAAACTGAGGTTGAGCAACCTCGAGGAAGTACATGCCTAGTAGCATATCGAAGGGCAGTTCGTCGCTGACAAGGAATGAGATTTTATGTCTCACTTCCCCTCCTCCATAAGAGAAGGAACAGACTACGTCCTTGACATAGTCTTTAACAATCATTTGGTGTTTGTTGGCTAGCGTAGAAGCTACAGTTTTGCTAAGCCGCTGCACTTGGTCCCCTAAGCGGAGTCTATCCACACAAGCACGACTGATGAAGTTTCGTGTAGAGCCTATGTCTGCGAAGGCGCCAACTTTGCGGCCACCTACATCGACCTCTACCACGAAATGTTCACCCTTTGGACTTTTACTGACCATCACCCAAGAGTCTTTGGGGTCCTTTCCTAACCACTCAGTCTTCTAGGGCCTCAGACACATCTCTCGAACAGAGCGTTGGTGGGTCTGAATGTGTCTGCGGGGCGATACGTGGCTCACTAGCATTGGCCAACGCCTGAAGTGGAGAAGGCAATGTTACCACTTCACAGCCCGAGTAAGAGCGGCTAAAACTCCTACTGGCCCGAGGTGTTTCCGTGCGAAGTGCTCGCAGAAGCACCGCGAGGGTTCGATGATAGTCCCACCACCATTGGAGAGGCTACCCTCGTTAGAACTTTCTTGCCTCGGCACGTTCGGGACGTGCGGCCATAGTTGCCACAGTTCATGCACGTGCCCCTAGCGACTCAGTCCCTCCACCCCTCATACTCTAAACCAAGTTTCACCCATGCGGGCGTACTTTGGTGGCCTTGACCCGTAGACTGACTTACCTTCTTCTTCTCGATCCCCCTAGCCTTTTCTTTGATGGGTGCCACGACTCCCCCATCCGAAGTCTCGCTGGCCCCATCGTGCTCTATGTCCTCCCCAAGGTTTGGGAAGTCGTCAATTTCTGTCGCCTAACCATCATGGTCGACGAACATTAATTGCCCTTTCTTCTTCCAGTCTTGGGGTGGTCTCTTCTTCCTACCATCTCCCTGACTCTGATGCGCATATCCCAACTTTGCCTCAATGTTCAAGGCCTTTTTGCTGAAGGAAGCGAAGTTGTGTTGTTCGACATAGGCCTCGTCTACCAGCTTTGTTTTAACCTTTGAAGGCAGACATCTACGGTAATATGTGAGGAGTACCTGCTGGTCATAGCGCACACCAGGTACCACGAGCAGATGTTCTACGGTATCCGTGAGCTCTCTAACATTCTTGTACCTTCTGGCACAAAGACTGTTGATTGCATCCGTGGCCTTTTGGGCCCCTATTGTACCGTACGAACTCTTCCAATGTTTGGGCCTGGGCCCAGGCATCGAAGTTCAGGTCATAATCCTGTTGCCGCACTAGGACATTCAACCAACGAGCTGCTGACCCCTCTAGAAAGGAGGCAACTACTACAACTTCTTGCTCCGGCCTGGTAAGTTTGAGCCTCACATAGGTGGGCACCGTCCTCACCCAGGTATGCAAGTCCTCATCCTTTTTCCTGTCGCCAGAGAAGGGCTTAGGACTCAGCAAGGGTATTTTGGGCATCTACTGCATAGGCTGCATTGGCCCAGGGGATTGCTGCAGTGGTTGCATAGCCACCGAAACAAGTTGTTGCGCACTAACCTGGGTCTGGCTTGACAGTGGGACTGTAGTAACCAGTGTCGTCGATGGTACGACTGAGACTCTAAGGACCGGACCACTAGTCGCCACATAAACACCTGGAGGGGGAATGCCAAACATAGTTGAGAATGAAAGCCCTACCGGCGACGGTGTCACTGATGGACCCACAATCGAAGGGGGAGCTACAGCAAACTGAGGCTGCCTCATCAGTGGACGAGGAGCCTGTAATGCAGCCAAAATTCGTTTCTGGCCTGCCACTAGTTCAACCAACTCTTCCTGCTGAACAACCTGGGTCTCCGCCACACACTTGAGGGAATTCCGCAATGCTTGCATAGCGGGATCTAATGCGGACTCGTCTAGTGCTTCCAGGTTGCCTTGTTCCTGCAGTCTACTACCTAGTCTGGCTTTTCTCATTATTTCTTTTCTTCTCTCTGCTGCTTCATCCAACTGACGCTGCAACTCATCTATAAGTTCTTCAGCTTGGAGGATCTCATAATCCTCCGGCGTGAGTTGAGCCTGCTGGCTGACTTGCAAGCCAGCACTCTGGCTAATGGAAGCTCGAGAACCACTCTGACTAACTCCTGACGAAGTGGCCTGTGAAGAGGCCTGCAACATGGTAGAGGAAGTAGCCATGGTCGTACCGGTGCTAGCTGTAATCCTAGACCTGGCACTGGCCTCAGCCACCCTCGCTCTTCTTGCCGCTGTTCACTCTCTAGCCTCTCTCCGCAGTCTCCTCTCGTCTCCTGGACCGAACTCTAGGAAAGTCAAAGGTCGACTGAGAGCAGTTTTGCGAGTAGTCCTACGATCATCCACTAACAACTCCGCCTCGCTAGTGCTTGCATCACTCATGAGCTGCAGTGTGTGTGATCTAAACTAGAATCCACACTGAATCCTACCTCAGCATGACACACAACTGATTATGATACACAACTAACTTCGGTTGGCCTGGACAGAAACAATTAGGTGGTCAGGTGTCACCCAGTGTCAGATCCTACAGGGAATATTAAATATATTTTTAGATTACTCTAATACAGATTGCAATGCAGCAAAGAATATACTACTCTATGTACAGCTGTCCGCCATTTGTTAGTAAAGTCTGTAACAACTAAATAATCAAAAAATAAAAATAATGCTCCCTGCAGAGATGTATGTTGGATGGCAGTTTATCTAATTAATGCCACCTCGAACAGTTATCCGTATATCCCTCTTAAGTAGTCAATTTGTGTCGACGTTCCTAGGCATCTAGTTGAGCAGCGTGTCTAAAGGTGTGCAATCCGGCCCACCCTGTGCCCCAAGTCAACGCCGAACCTGCCAGCCCCTGCACATTATTTATCCTCGCATGCAACGAGCCTTACAACCGGTTTGATCTGGCTGATCAGAAGGCATTTAAGGAGATCCCCCGTAACTCCTCAAGAATTATTTAACGTCGCAGACAGGACGACGATCACAGCCAGAATCAACACTGAGTCCCCGCCAGAAATATTTAAAGACGGTCTGGTAAGCGTCTGTTCAAAGGGCTGGCATGCCCTGCATGACCTCTATTGCGCAGCAGCAGAACCAAGGACTTGCGGCAAAGCATGTGTGTACTAGTCCCAGCGGGTTGGCATGGTGACCGTGACCCGAGTGCTTCGTCCAGGGCCCTTCAGAGGCAACGCCCGTCTCCCACCAGCTTCCTGCCCAGGAAGAATGTCGACTCTCAAGGTTGAGCGTTCGCGACACCTCACATTGACAGGACTCTCAAGACAAGACTCGCTTCCTCGCGGGAAGAAGCAATGAAGAGGGTAGATAAGGAAGGAAGCAACGTACCTCATAATGCTGCCCCCAACCACAGGTTTCTCACCGGCAACCTGATGTGCATATATGATAACCGGTCTTTGCCTTGGCACAACAACAGCAAATGCCACATCAGTGAGCTCTCATCATCCTGCGTACACCCCTAATGTCACCACATAGCTTCCTGGCGCGCCCACACGACCCTGGGCCGCCTACCGTTCAACGCCCAAGCCTTATCACTGCCCCCCACCTCATGCGAAGCACCGAACAGCTATTGCGAAGAACCAATGAGCGCAGTCCGAACCAGCTCCGATACCAAATTGCAAGGAAAATGAACAGAAGCGAGATGACAATATTTAGATTGCACAATCATATTGAAAGCCAGATCGTATCACAGTGTTCAGAAAGTAGCATTGCACCAATATGACACCAATGGAGAATAGTAGCACTGAAAGCCAATGTCAATGAGAGCTTGCTCTCGCCACCACCAACATATGTATCCAGTCCCTATCTCCCTACTTGGCGCTCGGCGCCCAGCCTACTCCCCACACAGCTACTACTAGCCTACTAATTGACAATGCAACTGTTGACGTCAGCAGCCTCCGAAGTACTTGAAGATGTCGCCCATGCAAAACCATCGCCAATACCAGGTATGTGCTCTCACATCATCATCATCATCATCCTTCTCTCTCTCCGCTGACTCTCTCCCCTGACTCTCTCCCACATCTTCCCTTGTTGAACACCCGAAGACCACCCCTGCGCCTCACTGTACATCCAAGCCCACCAGCTATGGAGGCTGGGCTATGGCGCTGCCCTCAGCAGCGCCGTGCTCTCTGCACGACCGCACATGCTTGCACCTTGCCGCTCAGCGCTAGCAACAGCCCATGAGCTTCAGCTCCAGCAGCGCTGCCGCCAGCATGTGAGTGCCCGAATGCCAGGCCAGGGAGCGAGCTCTTTCCTATATGGAAAGAGCCTGCTTCATTCGGCAGCCTGGCTGGACTGGCCTGGGCCCAGAAGCTTCCGGTAGGTCCCAGGATGCTGCGCCTCTCTTGCAGCTACTGGGCCTTGTTCGGTTGGGCCTCCCAACTGTCTGTGTATGAGGCTGCGATTCTCGTCCAGGGCCTGCATCATTTTGGAAAGGCCTGGAAGGTCTCGCTGCTCGGCCTGTGTTTTTCTCAACCAACTGGCGTGAAGAAACTTCCTGGACCCCAAATACGAAATTGACCGTCGAGGGCCTCTCTTGATTTGTTAGGCCCGCCTTCACTTAGGGCGGGCACAAATGCAACAGGGGCCCCCGCAGGCCTGCCGAGGGTCTGAATCCTCGCACCTCCCCCACTTCCTCGACCCCCACCTACTTACCACCCTTCCCCTCAAACCCGACCCCACCATCTTCGGGGAAAGAGGACCACCCTCCTCCCACTGTTAGCCAATAAGCATCAAGGCGATGCTAACACCGAAGACATCAACGATCATCTTCAACCCCCCAGTAATAGAAGACAGTGCAACTCCAGCTCACCAAACCTGTTATGATTTCTTGATTGTGCGTTTTTCATCTCCCATAAATCACCTGTTGTATTGATTGTTCCTATGATAAGATTAGAGATTTGGATGCTGATTTAGGATCGTGGCCGGACGTGTCCTTATACATCCAATAATCCAAGAATCTGCCAGCATGCCATCTAATCTCCCATAAATCACCTGTTGTATTAAACGACAGGGAGGAAGTTTTCTGTCCTCTGAGGGGAAGGGGGTGACTTCAGTGGCTGTGCGGTGAAGCTTCTTTATCTTGCGGATTGTTTGATAATTGCCGGTGTGGGGGCAATATCTTGGAGGGAACTGCTGCGTCTGGTGTTTTAAGGACACTAATTGAGGGTTGTGCTATTCTGGGGCCGGGGTTGATGGAATGTTGATCATTGGCGGAGGCAGATAGTGGCAAGGGGTTTAGTCTACTTCCATGGAGGAAGTGGTTGGTTTCCTCTCTCCCTCCTTTTTGCCATGGAAGTAGTGGGGGAGGTTTGGCTGGTTGGCATTTTCTCTGCTTGTGGAGCTTTTTAGAATTTCTTGACTGTTCGAAGATCTCATGATCTTTAGTAGTTGTTCATGAATATCCCAGCAGTTTCAGCCGAAGCCAGGTAATGGC